AAAAAGTTTATAATACTAGCCATATCAACGGTTATCTGCTGCGTTTCAGGAAACTTCGTGTCATACCAGGCCACACCTACTTGAAAAAGTTTGCTTCTGATCGGTCACATATGAAGGATTCAGATGGGAACTGGCGTATGCCGTCCCCACCATACCCATGTTTAGAGACATCAGGTTTGTTGTAAAATTATTTGTCTTGTTATTTGCCACAATTCTGTAAATATCATGATTGGAGTTCTTCTTCCTCTTACACTGTATGTGTTCTTTTCACAGAATCTAAAATGAATCTCGATGACTTCATCTGCATGGATGCTGGAGTGGGCTATGGAGAGGTTTACAACCTTTCAGATTTTGTTCAACACTTTGGAGTGAGATTTTTTTTTTTGATTTTTGATGTTGAAAAATGTACATGAACTGAGCCTCAGGGAAAGATCCCATTAGCATGGACAGTACTGTGACGAAGCAGGCCTTGAAATACATATCTGTTGCCTGTCAAACACTTTTTTTCTTTACTAATAAAACAGTTCAGATTCCACACGACACCTTACAAGGTCATTCATAATTACAGTCAGGTACAAAAATCACAAAGAAATGTCATAGTGAAATACGCAGGATGTAACATTTGTTAATAATATGCATACTTTTATAGAGAAATCAGTTGCAGCAAAAAATGCAGCATTCAAATGAACAACCAAACCGAAATGGTAAACTGTGTATGCAGATGTAGTGCTGTTGTTTAAGCAATTGCTGCCAGGTAATCCTTCACCTCAGCAGGTGACAGTCTGCGAAATCCTGCCTCATTACAGATGCCCACCTCGATGTTGTCCTCGGTCATCTGCCCTTCAAAACTTTCCTGTAAGAAAAAGAAAATGCTATAGATCTTGTTTTGAGCAATCTGATATATGAGGTTATTTAGAGATGAACTCACCTTCAACGTTAAGATGGCAGTGTGTATAGCGTCTTCAAGTTCCAGATCTTCATTATATCTGTAATGAAATTGTACAAAGCCACGCTGTAAATCTTTTGCAAAATCATTTCCATCTTATACACTACAATAAATTCAAAAAGTGTATTACTTCGATACCTTTTTTCAAGGAATGTTTTTCCATTCACATAGTTCTTTCCCATTGCTGTGGCTTTCCAGGCGAAGTATGCTCCCTGTGGGATATCACCATTCAGACATGGTTTCACAACATAAATGGTTGCATGTTGAATTAAGAACAAACAGTGATGTAAAACTTGATATTGTTATTTGTTGTACCGATGGGTCTGACTGAAATAAGTATGGTCTGTCTTCGTCCCAACCGGCAATGAGAAGAGAGACTCCAAACGGCCGCACACCTCTACAAAACATGACACTAATATTACTACAAGAGCTCTAATTAAAGTAAGGTATAATAAAAGATAGAAAGAAGTCAACATACCCTGACTGTGTGTACTCTTGCATAACAGAAGCCACTCTCTGTACCAGCTGGCCTGTGGGGATTGGCTCTTGGTATACCAGGAAATACTGCTGCGCCAGCTTTCTTGCTCTCCTGACCAGCACCCTGTCAAGAGAGATCATTCCCAGAGTCATTCCTTACAGACCATCCAGATAACAAATAACAGATTTTCCATTTATGAGTGCACTGCTCCTTTAAGAAGGGCTTATTTTAAGAGTTTCATTTTTAGAACAAATCGGCTATCGGTTTGAAATAAATACTGCACTGTTGTTTCATACCTGTAGTCAGGACCCATTCCACTGTACACCATGCCAATGTGTTTGGTTATGGGCTCAACTTTGTGCACGCTCTGTTCATCATACAGTAAGGACTTCTGTTTCTTTTCAGTTGCAAGCACAACTCCATTTGATGCTGCAAATAATGACGAAAGGTCATTCAAAACAAATTTACGATTTAAGTGCAGCACCTATGGAGAAACTGTATACTGTAGGTAGCCTACAGTGGTGTGAAAAAGTGTTGGCCCCCTTCCAGTTTTTTGTAT